GCAAAGGCAATACTGTGGAGCAAAGATAGTCACTTCATTGATGATACTGAACAACTGATGTCCACATACCAAAAAAAAATCCCCAAAGCAAAAAATCTAGACACAGACCTTATACCCTTTTCACATCTTTCACCAAAAGAACTCAAAATATGTCACAGACCTATATATAAAATGCAAAACTATACAGCTCATGGAGGATCGTATAGAATAAAACCTAGATGACCTGGGGTTCATCAAAAATCTACTAGATACAACACCAAAGTCACAATTCATGAAAGAAATAAATGATCAGCAAACTTCATTGAAGTTAAACATTTTTGCTCTGCAATAGACACTGTCAAGAGACTGAAAAGACAAACCACAGAGTGGGAGAAAGTAGTTTCAAAAGATACATCCAATAAAGAACTGTTATCCAATATACATAAAATACTTTAAAAATTCAACAATATGAAAACAAACCTGACCCTGGCCTTTTTAAAAGGGCCAAAGACCATAAAGGATACTTTACCAAAAAAGATATACACATAGCAAGTAAGCATATGAAAATGTACTCCACAACATATGTCATCAGAGAAATGCAAATTAAAATAGTGAGATTCCTCCACACACTTAAAATAGTCAAAACACAGAACACGGACAGCACTAAATGCTGGTGAGAATGTGAAGCACCAAAAACTCTCACTTATTGCTGTTGGGAATTCAAAATAGCACAACCACTTCGGAAGGCAGTTTAGTGGTTTCTTGGTAACGTAAACATACTCTTGCCATTTAATAGAGCATAGTGCTTCTTGGAATTTACCCAAAGGAGTAGAAAACGTATATTCCACACAAAAACCTGCGTGGATGTTTGTAGCTAGTGTTATTCATAATTCCAAAACTTGGAAGCAACCAAGGCATCCTTCAGTAAATAAACTGTGCTATATCCAAACACAAAGATGTTATTCAATACCATACTGTTAGCTCTGCGTTGCTTCTTTCTTTTCTCTTTTACAACGCCGTCTTCTGCTCCAGGCACTGTCCATTCTACTTCTAGTATTTTGTCCCTCTCTGCACATTACATCCTCTTTTGTTTGGGTTTTATATCAAATCTCGAACCTCATTCCTTTGCATCGCAGCTGATTACTCTTACATGTTCTCTGTAATTTTCCTTGTTTGCTTTCCATACCTTTCACACTCCCAACAATGATTTTAATGTTGACTTAGTTTTGTGTGGAGTGCCTGGTATATGCCAGAGATAGCTAAATAGTGAGGAAGCAAGAACAAAAAAATGAAAGCTACATTCCATGTTACAGAGTAGCTCTAGTCTAATAAAGATATCCATTTACTAAAGTTCAAAGAAAGAGATGACTTCGGGGGGAAATGAAGAAAAAAGTGAGAGAGCACACGAAAAGTTGACTTCATCTAGAGAACCAGAGAAAAGGTCTATGAGCAAGGAAACTGGATCATAGACCTTTAATTTTACTGTAATTTGACTGTATCTACTTAAAATAATTTTACTTTATGACCTGGAAAAAATATGATACAGCTAATGCTAAAAGTGACAGTGGAAAATATGATGTCTTCCTGCTAATCAGGTGCATCACCTACCATGCTCACTCACACAACAAAGGCCCAGGAAGGATTTCCTTGACAAAAACACTTTAAGTTTTTTTTAGCTAATTACAATAGAGCAATTATACTAGTGGCTCAAGTTAACAGTATATCTGAATCTATCCTTTTTCATTTTAACTTCAGCAGATTCCTCTCATTCTGACTCTAGGCTTGGCCCTAAGAGTTCCAATAGGACATTAGTAAATGGCATGCAAGCAGGGCCTTGAAAAAACACTCTGGACATTCTTGCTGTTCTCTCTCTTGGACTTCAGTTCTTGCCATGCAATCCGGAGGCCAAGAGACCACAGGAGGAGATTCTATTCATGCTAGCAGAAGTCCTTCCAGACCGGCCAGCTCACTGCGGATCTGCCAGCTGACCTCAGATGCATGAGCAAACCTAGCAGAAATGATTAACCAGATTAACAGAACCACCAAGCCAACTTTAAATTTGTAAAGAATTTAAAAAAGAATACTGTTTTAATCACTAACAAACATTAGGGTTGTTTGTTACACAGCATTGCTAAATAAGGAAGCAATATATATATATAAGAAAAAGACTCAGTTCTGTCTTTTTCATGAGCTTCCTTACTGACTGGGGTAAGGTAGTACCTTTCACTGACACACAGCTTCACACCTGACACATTTTGATGTCCATGAAGCTTAACGAGTCTACAAAGGGCACTTACTTTAGCTTCCTTTTCCAATGAGGAGTATGAGTGTTTATTTCAGTTAATATGTTAAGTATGGCCTTAATACTCTTTAAGTGGATCTTAGAATTAGATATTTTAATTCATTTTCTGAATCTCTGGAGAATAGTGTAGAATTAAGGTCATATTTTTGTGTGTTTTTAAAGGTTGTATGTACAACATAATATTATTTACAATTGATTTTTGGCTCTATTTTATCATCTAATAGCTATTTGAGACTATTCCAAATTAAAACACCAAGAACAACCTTGAAAGTCTCTTACAAGATAATGGGGACACTAAAAGTCATTAGGGATCCCACACATATTATGTGGGATTGGGTCCAGCCCTGGATAAGTCAAGCCATTCGATTATGAGAGAGTGTTCTGTGTATCTAGTATTTCTAATAGTTTTGATTCGGGCTGCAGGAGACCTGATCCAAACTAATAGTGTGGGTTATATTCAGTGGCACTTGGATTCCTTTTGTGAGATTATTCTACACTGGAAACTGAACCAATCAGAACACTTTGGCATGGTGGTGGTGCTAGATGGTACTCAGACCCTGCAGAGCTGCCCTTGAACTAGAGTTCTAGAGGAGAGTCTTCAGCGCTGTGCTGGTAAAGGAAGTACAGACTCATCATACAAGCATCCTAACATTTCTTCATCACACAGAAAATGCTGCACACCCCTACTAAATACCTCTAGTTAAAAAACTCTTTCTGTAACTTAAAAAGCACACGTAAGTGACATTTTATACTGGAGTGTTTCTTATTGTCAATGAACACACACTTTCCTTTGGTTTGCTTTCTCTATTACAATTTTTCTCTCTCTCTATCTCTCTCCTTTTTTTTAAATACAATTTTTTCTGGGGTGAGATGGAAAGGAAAGGAGGAAAATTGGGTCTCGTAAACCCTTTAAAATAAATAGACTGTGCAAGTATCCTAAGGCTATCACGTGAGATCTCTGTGCTGTTACACTTTGCCTCTGAGATAATAACATAACATCCATAAGAATAGTAGGTGAAATAGATTCATCTTGTGTTTCCCTCTAAAGACTGACTTTGGAAGTCTCCTTCTCTTGGGAAACTTTGGCGTTATGTTGGAGAAATTTGGAATTTTGTTCAAAGCACACAGCCTCTTCAGATAAGTGTGTTTGGTGCTATCCCTGAGCAAAGACGGCCCAGGAGAGACACAACCATCTTGGTGTGCTCTGTGTGATTCATACGAAATCCAACCCTTTCTGAGTTTGAGTTAATAGCAAAATACCACTTCCTGTTTTTGAGGAAAAAAATGGCATAAAAAGTCATATAAAGAGACTCATAAGGCACTTGGACATCAAATAGCTTTTAGTAAACAACATTTTAATGAATTAAGTGTAAATGAATCAGAAACATGTGGGTTGAATTTCCCTTGAAATACCCATGGGCTTAAAAAAAGTTTTCCTTAATTGTTTGGCAAAGGATCGTGTACATTTTGTTGAGCTCGAGCCTTTTGAAAAAAAAAAAAAAAAGAAAGAAAAGGAAAGGAAAGCAGCCTTGATTTGGTTGGCTGGATAAAAGCACACTGCTGTAGCCTTTATTTATTTATTTTTATAATTCTACAAAAGTCAGGTTGAAGGCGAAATGTTATGTGTCTTCTTAGGTGTGGGATCCATGTGTTAGACCACTTTTTCAGTAGAGTAACATTTTGATTAACCAGAACCTTCGAATCATGCTCATCTCTTTTGCAAGGGCAGAAGCACAGTTCAGATGAAGTTCATCAGAGCCGAGGTAAAGAAAACACAGCGCTCTCCAGTTCACTCACCAAGAAGATCCTCAGTACAGAGGCTTGCCGGGCCTGGTTAGCTAACGACCCGACAAAAGGCTAGAAAAACAGAGTCGTTGCAGGACCAGGGTGCAGACATTGAGGAAAGTTGAAATGAATGGAAAAATCTGTTTTCTGAGAGGAAGAACAGGGATACCAGGAAATGGCTGACAGAAGGAAAAGAGAAATTGCAAAGACTGAAAAATCTTGAGTGGCAGCTAGAAATGGCCCAAATTCAACAGGGGCATAGACACTGGAAAACTTTTAGGATGGAAAAATCAGGGCAAATGAGAATACTCAGAGCAATACTGGGAATACCAATTTTAACATGAGTATAAATGTGAGAAGTTAGCCTCACCAGCTTGCACAGCGGAAGCCATATTATTGCACTAGCACCTATAAACTGTTGAAGTTTGTGTGTATTAACATGTATATGAACATATTAAAGTGATTTGTTGCATGCTATATTTCATAGATTCATTTATATTCAGTTATATCACACCTAGGATCTTGGTGGAGTAAGGAATTTGGATTGAGAAAGTCTAGGAGATGGAGATTCCTGACAGAGAAAATTTCGAATTTGAAGAGAAGAGCTATAACTAGAGGATTTGACATAGTGAAGAGGGGTCAGCACCATCTTAGCGTAAAAGGAAACGCGTGTTCTCTCTGTAGGTGTTTTAGCTCAACAGAAATAAATTTAGGGTTCTTTAAACACATTTTCCCCAAACTCTTATATTTAAAGTAAAAAACTTTCCTTTGTGAGGCAGAGTTAGTCTGGTAGAATTCTTTATAAAAATTATTTTTCTTCTCAGGAAGTTTTACTAATAAAGACTTCATTGATATATTACCTATCAATATCCCCTACTGCTCCAAGGGGAGTAAGACATTATTCCAATTATATAGGAAAGATTGTTGAGATAGTTGATCTTATTGTTTAACGATATTTATATAAACACAGATCTTAGTTAAAGGGTAAATGTGAACATCTTCACAGGAACTGTATTGTGATATTGTGCCTGCCACCAGTAACAACCCTTTTCCATGAGACAATTCTCAAAGAAAAAAAAGGTAAAATAATAATAATAATAGTGCCTTAGCATATAGTTTGGGAAGATTATACTTTGTCTTTATGCTTTGTTATTGAAAATAAAGGTAACAAAAAAGACAGAGTTTATATAGAAAACAAATATACACATAATACAGACAGAAAACCCGAGTCTCCCAGACAGAGCTGATGATATGAAAAGTGACATAACAAATGGAACTTGAATCTGCTCATAGAATAATAATTGTTTCAAACACAGACTTTGCATTTTGCCCAGAAATGCATGCAGTTTTCTATTCTTCCTTTTATATTTATGTCAAAGAGGTAAAAGAGAAAATACAAGGTTATTTCCAGAATTTTTCAAGACTCTACAAGGTTTCTTCTGCAGAGAGCCATTCAGTCTTATCCACATGAGAGTGGAGAGGTACACAGCTTCAACTCAGTGATCTTATTTCATTTTCTTATCATCGCTATTTCAACTATGCTTTGTCAATCATCCTTTCCAATCCTTTAGTGTCATTGGAGCAGATTCCAAAATGTTTTCACAACTTTTAGTTATTGAAACATATACCCTCTCAAGTTTCATCTCAAATTCAATGTAAGAATGAGGTTGTCTCAAACCATCCTGGATCTGATCTGAGACCCAGATGTTTTCAGGAAGCTGGGGCGGGGCGAGGCAAGCTCTGGCTCTGAGCTGCCTCCTCCTGGCTCTCATTAGTGTGCTGGAGTGGGGAGAAACATGAGCCAAAGGAGAAGTGTCTTCATTTAACTGTGTCCTCTTGTAATTCTCTCTCTCTCCTTGGCGTCACTGCTTCTCTAACACCGACCAACCTTTGGTGCACTGAGCCCTGTAAGATTGCAGATTGTGACACGTTAATGAAAGAACCCAGCTGGTGATTGAAACATAAGGCCTAGTTCACCTACCTTCTAAACATGTTCGTAGAACATATAGGTGGCTTGAAGTTTAACATTGGCTCTTATAGAAGGGATAATATCTCTGAGAGCATGACTTTCTAATAAATTGGATGTATGCTTATATTCGTTTAAGACTATTTTCATGAGGAGATACTTACTACTTTCTACCTTGCTTTGCTTAAATCTACCATGCTACCATTTATGTCAGCTTTTATAAACTCAAGATAATTTTCTAAATAATTTAATGATTTGCAACTCAATTAGCCCAAGGAGCTATTTCATGATGTGGTCTTATTCTCTTTTGAAATCTACTTAATTCATAACTTAAACTACAACAGATGACCCTGTGCATCATTGCAACACTTTAGACAAAGTTATCAGTGATCATGTGTGAATTCACATAAATATGTAATCATGTGAGTGGGGTGTGTGCTGAATGGAAATGTGACAAATAGAGGAAGAGGAACAAACCAAGTCAAAATAAAAGCATTCTGTATAGATGCTCCATGTTATGACACCTTTCCCATTACCCGCAACTGCCATCTGAAAAATTGTTAAATCGATTTAATACCGGAACTGGAGCTATTGTATGCAAATTCCTCATGTTTTGAGTCTATTGTCAGAGACGTCTCAGCTGCATAGCACATCTCATCTGACTCCTAGGGTTGTTTAGGAACTTGATCCTCGGGAACACCTGTTATTTGTATGGCTCGAAGTTCTCTGCGTTGCTCTTTCCCCATTTTGGATGCTGCTTCACCCAGCTGTTGATAATTAGGAAAACAAAGCAAATCCTTCCCATGGATACTAGGCTCCACAGACAGCCAAGGGGACAGAAAGCCAAAGAACACCATAGTCTTTTTGTCTTAAATCAGGAGGCTCACCACACTGTATTCCCCTGGACTGCAAAACCGCAGGAATGGATTAATATCATTAACCACAAGAAATATTTGTGTATGGATGTGGGAGAGAGGGCATGAGAGGAATATTAATCTATGATGTATGACCTTGTATATCTGAAAAAAATTAAAAAGCCACATGTATGTGAATCATTGCATGATAAATGTATCAGCCGTACAGGATGAATTATATGGCTAAGTACTGAGATGGAGTTCTTTTCCAGAAGTTACTATTTTTAGCTCAAGAGGGTCATCAAAAACTGTACAGAGATGGACATTCTGTAAACAGAGCAGACCAAAAGTAAAAATTCAAAAGCAAAGCAAAACTCAATTATTAACTCAGCTTTGAATATTGTGCATATATACTCATATGTGTCTGTGTATAATATATTCAGCAAGTACACATGTATAGGTACGCATATGTAGCAATCAATAATAATTAAGAAAACACTAAAATTTAGGTTATTGTTTAAATACTTAAACTATGGAAGCAGAAGAAATACATTTCTTGTGTCCTAGATACTTTTAAAAAATATAACTTTATGTGTGTTTAGCAATTTAACATATCTGTGGTATTTTCCTTTGTTTTCTGAAATAAGGATATCTTGAACATCTTAAATATGAAAAAAATTTTGCTAGGCACTATGGATACTAAAGAAAACACTAAACATGAGAGAAAAAGCATCTTCACCAATATTTCTCAATGGTCTAGGACCTAAGATTTCGCTAGTAACTACCTTTCACAGCTTGTGCTTCTATCTGTATAAACCTCTTTACTATGGTTTAAAGTTCCTAAAACGAGCCTAGATCTTCAAACAAATGTATGCCCTTGGTGCTTAATACTTCCCTCCATCTTAAACTGTTCAAGTCTGACCAGCTTTCGTATATGATAAAAGCAGTTGGGGTATTATCACAACACCCACAACAGTGCATCTAGGGTTTGATCTAGGGTAATAAAAACTAAGATAAAAATTAAGTAATAAAGTCAATAGATGTTAGTATGTTTTTAAAAGGTAGGATGGGGAGATTGATTATTGGTGAGAAACGAGAGGAAATAAGGTGTTCTAAACACTCAGGTTTCAAACCAGGGTCACTGGAAGAATAAAAGTGCAGGGAATACGATGAGGAACATCAAAAATAAGAGCTGGAGTGTGAACTCATGAGTCCGGTTTGTTGAGTTTAAATTTAAGATGCTGATGTGACATCTTTGAAATATCGTGTAAGTATATAAAAACTTTGAAGGAAAACTTTAGATTTGGCTCAATCTAGTTTTAAGGGGCATCTAGCTGGAAAGTAAAGGCTGAAATTATGAGAGGTGGAGACCCACAAGGAGACCAACCAAGCAACAGCATCGCTGAATGCTTATTTTTAGAGAACACGTAAAGGATGAGGAACTAGTTACAACAGACTCACACTCTCAGAGACTTTCTCATATCGAGAGATGAGGAAAAGGGAATGTCAAAAACAAGAGAGATCGGTGATGATAAATATCGCAGATTCCCATGAGGAAAGATGAGACCAACAAAAGACCATTACTCAGTGGACTGGCAAACCTGAAGAAAGCAAGTCAGTAAAGGGGCAAGTGCAAAAGTAGTCACAGTGTGTGTAATTGAATGTAAAGTTAGTGAACAAGGGAAAAGCAGTACTTTATTTCTGGAGGTCTTGAAGGTGGAAGAAAATCGATAGAGAGTATAATAGCATAAAGGAGACTAAATGAGACAGCAAATGCAATCCTTACTACATATAATCCATCTCTAAAATTGTTTAAGACAGTGATTATTCAGACAGCAAAAAGCTCAGATTCCCTTCTTTTCTTTTGGGGGAAAAAAGCCAAAATATTCTAGTTCTATGAGAACTCCAACCTATATCTCTAAATATCACAAAAACATATTTCAGCAACAAAATAATGTTCTAGCAAAAAAACCCCAAAAGCCTCTACATAATACCAGGTGATTAAGATTAAATTAGTCCTGGCCAGGTATCTCAGTTGGTTAGAGTGGCATCCGATATGCACAGATGCAGGTTTGATCCCTGGTCAGGGCACATGTAAGAATCAACCAATGACTGCATGACTGAGTAAAACAATAAGTTGATTTTTCTTTCTCTCTCCCTCTTCTTTCTTCCTCTCTTCCTCAAAAAATCAATAAATAAAAATTTTAAAAAGATTTCATTACTTAATAACTTAACATGTAATAAACTCAGTTGGCATATTTGAGCGATATACAAAAATGCTATACAATATTGGATTGATTATATTTTACTTCTATACTATAAATACTTATATTATGAAGTAAATAAAAATAAAATAATATGTTAAAGATATGTCTAGGTTGGGACTTTATCAAGGTGAATGTGACCATCATTTTTCCAGACAGCTTTATATTATTCAACCTGGTTTCCACAGGAAGAAAAAGGATGAATAACTCCAGAGTTAATATGTTAAAAAGACAGTAATTGCTAAGAATGATTGATTGCTTATTTCTAATCAAGCTTTGTTTTTTCTAACACCATGACATAACTAATATATTAGTCTTGTTTTAAGGAAAAGAAAACTGAAGCCCAGAACTTTAGGTGATAAAATTGGTTTCAAATCACATAATTAATATATGATTAAACCTGAATTTGAACTCTGGTATTCTGACATATTCTTTTTTTCACCCTTCAGAATTCCTAACTGGTGGAGGAGGAATGTCTGCTTCTATTGGAATATGCCTGTGCTTTTAAAGCAAGGATAAACATACCACAAAGCTGACTCTACCTAGTTAGTTAGAAGACAATCCTCTGATATAGAAACATTAGCCCTAAATACATTTACTTGGTAGATGGTAATAGATGGTGTTCCCTAAGGAGACTTTCTACTGGTGAGCTGGCAAACTTGGTGCCATGAAGGGGACTCTTTGTAGCCTTCTTCCCAAGATGGAAAAGTTTATGAAGTATATTTTTAAATGTTTTTAAAGCATTGGCTTAAATACTAATTATAGGGAGTAGGGAGAAAGAGCTATAAAACAGTGTATTCTGGAACACTCTTAATGTGATGAAGGCTGTGAAAGAACTCAAATTATATTTTCAGTCCCTGTGGTCAGAGAAGACCTTATAATCTGATCTGTTGTCTAATTTGGATTTGTCAACTCCATACAGATGGAGGGAGGGTGTTTGGATCCTGATAAGTCAGTTGCTGCTCTCTGTAGTGTGGACTCCCCAAGTCAAAATTCAAATCTCATCTATTTCTAAAGCAAATATTGGAGCAAGATGAAAGACCTTATGTACCTATAAAGATCCAGGACATGACAATGTGACCCTAGAATCGGCGATAGTATAAAAGAGGCCTTATACAGTAGGAGCAATATAAATAAAAGAGATTATGTGTTTACAATAGTTCTTTGAGGGAGACAAATGATCCTCGTGTTGGCACTACATGAAACTGATTTTAATCACTGTAATAGGGAACATAGATAGATGCTTTGTGAGAGGAAAATTCTATAACAGAACATTTAGGAGGAAAATTGTTTTTTCTCTGTGACTAGAGAATCTCATAAAAAGTCAGGTAACATAGTGAGTGTACTGTGGGTAATTGCTGGTTGATGAAAGAAAAGACAGGGGTGGGGAAGGAGATGTTCTGAAGAAGAACCGTGACATCCAGCCGGCTGAATTTGCTGCAATGCTGCTTCCCATTATAAGGTACCACAATTCAAACAGGATACAGTTGGGTCCAGGGAAATCACACAAAGTAAATATCTAAAATTCTTGAAAACTACATTAGCCCTACACCACGGCGAAAGCAAAACAATGAGTCAGTGTGAAAATAAATCTATTTCTTACATTATTACGTTTCTTCCTGAAATTTGGCAAAATACAATGACAGCATGTAATTACCTCAAAATATCTTGTGGGTTTAAAACGTTTTTCTTTTTAAAAAAGTAAACTTACATTGTGTCAAATGAGGGACATATATGAAATATGAAGAGGTATAGCTATAAAAATAATTCAAAATTTATTTTGATATCCAGAGTCTAAATTTACAAAGACTTGTATCATTT